GCACCGTTGGGGATGTGGACAAGGGCCTGGAGCGCCTGGAAGTCAGGCCGCTCCGTGGTGACCGGGCCACACCCTGCGTCGCCGTAGGCCTCGATTTCCCTGCCGCCCCGAGCTTATAAAGGCCTTTCTGTCTATGTTGTTGACAATAATAATATCCTTCCCCGCCGAGTCCCAACGCTCCTCCAGCTCCGGGATCTCTTTGAATCTCGAAGTATTGGAAACTGAGACCAGATTCCAAGGTCACTACAGGAGCAAGGCCCTGGGGGCAGAGCTCGGGCCAAGGGCGCTGTCCGAGGTGCTGATGGGGCCGCGCGCCGCCATCTCCCCCCCCAGGAAACTGAGGCTCGCTCGGGCACCGCCCCGGCCGGGAGCAGCCCCTCTCACCTCTCATGGACTGCTGTTGTTTTGGGGCGGTGACCAGGCGCCAATCACCTTCTCTCGCTCCCGCTCCAGCCCTGAGCCCCTGGCACCGAGTTGGCACCATGGGATGATGGGATCTTTGTCAATCCGCCCCAGTGTCTCAGATCCCTCTGTGAGTGACCTCTGCTGTGTCCACGACGTGAGCCCGAGGGCACAGGGCCGCAGTGGAAGAATGGGCTGCGGCAGGCACCTCAGAATTAAATCGAGGATGTCCACAGCTGCCTTCATCTCCAGGATTTATTGGGTCAAGGATTTGATGTGTCCAGGAGCATGGGGTCAAGGGGAGCTCGTGTTGGCTGAGGACCCTCTACCGCCCCAGGCAGGCCACACCGCGTGGCGATGACAGGACGTCCGGTGCCCGTGGGACCTGAGTCGGGCTCTCATGAGAACATGAGCAGTGTGTGTTCCCTTGTATGTGCAGGACGACTGTCCTTTGGACCCCCTAGCTCCTGCCGGCTCTTGCGCTGGCTGAGAGAGGACCACAGACCTACTGTCCAGGCTGGAACTTGGGTTCACTGGAAGAGATGGGAATGGTCTGATTGAGTCCCCAGGAAACAAAACTGGACACTGAGGCAGAGAGAAGCATTATGCGAGGTAGATTGGGGGTGGAGAGAGCTGGGGTCAGAGCCCTGGGCTCTGGGCCTTCTAGCCCATCCCCATCTCCTGTGGTCAGTGTGTCCTCCATAAGTCCCCCAGCGGACATTTCTACTTCACAGTTGAGCTTCCTCTGTATTCTTCCTGTCTCCGCAGCCACTGTCCCCTGCCTTGGTGGCCTGCCTGCCTTGGTGGCCTGCCTGCCTTGGTAGGCTGGCCAGCTATTCCTCCTGAAGAGGCTCAGATCCAGTGTCGCTGTCTTCTTTTCCCTCTTTCTTTTTCTTGTTGTGTACCGTCGAATTGGATCCGACTGGCACAGGAGGAGATTACCACTCCTTCTCCAGTGGAGAATCTGGTGGATTCGAACTGCATGTCTTCGAGATTACAGTGCAGCTTCTTGCCACTAGGCCACAAGAGCTCCCCAGTGTCGTCTTCTTAATTCAGCCATTCAACCCCCCAGAAAGAACTTTCCTTCACCTACCCCTTTCCCCTAACCCCTCGGGCTGAGGACAATAGTGTCCACCTCTGAAGGCTCTCTGAGGGACATACTGGACTCTTCCTGGGGACATCACACAGCCTGTGACTCCAGACCCAACAGGAAACACGTGGTCCCTCGTGTCCTTGGCCTCAGAGGCATCCCACGTCCTCATTCTCCCCATGTGGCCCTGGCAAGGGATGTGCTGGCTTACCCTCCTATTTTAGAGAAATCCAGGGAAAGGTGGGGGCTGACTGCACCCCAGCGAGGACATGCAGGGCCCTGACCCACCACACTGTACCCTCCCTGCCTCAAATGTCAGCAGCTGAAAGGCTGCGGGAAGAGGCAGGCATAGACTCTGGAAGTGGCTCTGGGGGACCCATCAGGATCGGGGACAGCTGGGGACTGGGACTCTTGTGACTTAGGCCTCTCCCTTCTCCACCTTACCTGTGAAGGCAGATTGAGGATATGGGAAGGGGTAGAGGCCAGGAGAGATGTGGGCAGAAGCAGAGGCAGAGATGGACAGGAGCAGGGAAGTCGCTGACGCCAAAAAAAAGGGGAAAGGAGGAATGGAGCGAAACGCCCATTTGCCTCGCCTGCCAGGACCCCAGGGCCTGTCGTGTTTCAAACACGTGCCCAAAGCTGAAATGGATGCGTAGGGAGCGACTTGCCTGGGCTTCTGCCCCACTCGGGCTCCCCCTCCCCCATGCTCTGATGAAACATCTCAGATTAGATGTTTCAAATTCTGGTCCAGAGGTTTCTAAGAGCCTGGGAATGCGGTGAAGGAGACAGCCCTGGCTTCTGGCGTGCCCCCCTTCCCTGGAGGATTCACCCCCTTCAGACGCAGCCCCTGAACCCGCGTAGAGGCCCGGCGCCCTGCAGCCGCCACTGGTCCCCGCCCCGGGCCGCCATTGGCTGTTGCCATGGCACCAGCCTGTCTTCCCGTGCAGCCATTGGCCGCCGCGCCTGCATCCCGCATCCCGCATCCTCCCCCGCGCGGTGGTTTCGTCCAGCGCCGGGAGGCGGCTGCGCCGCTTGGCTGGGCCCGGACGCGGCTTTGTCTGCCCCGAAGCCCGCTGCCCCAGCCGCCAGCGCCTCAGAGCCCCCGCCCCGGCGGCCCAAGGCTGGGGCGGGCCCCGCGGAGTTGAGCAGAGGGCGAGGACCCGGGCCACCGCACCTCCGCCAGCCCAGCTGGGTGAGCCACAGTGAGCGGCGTCTTCTGGGGTACAGGGAGGGGGCGCGACCCGCCTGGTGCCCGGGGTCTCAGTGCAGCAGCCCTCTGCATCTCTGTCAGCACAGACTTAGGGGCTGGAGTGGCTCCAGGGCGTGGTCGGAGGGAAAACCAAGGCCCAGAGAAGTGGGCATCTGTGAAGATGAAGCTGGTGACCGCACACACCCACTCCCACGGGCCTCCCCGAGATGGTGGAGGGTCAGAGGCAGCCCTGCTGTAGGCCTGGGAGTGTCGCTATGGCTCCTTGGCGTTCAGCGCCCCTGTCTGTACAGAGAGGGTTTGGACAAAAAAGAAAGACTTTTGTGGCCTACGGCAACGTTCTCAGCCCCAGATGCAGCCACTCAGGGCTCAGTGAGATGATTAGCTCAGCTCCTTGATCTTGCATTTTCTCTCAGGGGAGGTGCCTGCCCCAGCTTGGGGCAGAGGGGAAGGCAGGAGGGCTTCCTGGAGGAAGGGATGTCACTCCTCCTAGTGCAGGTTGAGGAAGGACAGGGCATACAGCCTAGAGAGGTGAGAGCTGCAGGGTCAACGGAGACGGTGGGTTTGTGGAGGAGCTAGGTATTGCTCCCGAGAGCACTGGGGATCCATGGGAGGTGTTTGAACAGAGGAGGGATAGGTCCTGCTGTGATGTTGAATGCTCCCTCTGATTATTTGGAGAAGGGGATCTTGGGAGACTGGTCCACGGCATCCCGTTGGAAGGTTCTGGGGACAGGGCAGCCCAGTGGGGCAGAGCTTGGCAGATCTGCTAGGAGCATGGATTTGCGTGCCAGGCTGCACTGAGGGAGACCCAGTAGATGGCTCTGCTACCAAGGTCAGTCTGATGAGGACATTGAGTGACCACCAGATATGGGCATGAACAGAGCACCAAGGCTCAGCCATGGCCACTGGTGGAGAGGGCAGCCCAGGGGGCTTACTGGGCATCTGGAAGGGTCTGGCTGGAGAGGGAAGGACATGCATAAGGGGTCGGACCCCATCTGGACACCACTGTGGCTTCAGCGGGATATGGCTTGAGCCAGACCGCCAGGAGCTCAGTACATGTGCCCTCATGGACACTGGCCAGGAAGGCTGATGTGCCAAATCATCAGACAGGCAGACTGAGGCCCAGAGAGAGGAGTGTCTTACTTCCCCTCCAGAGCTGCCTGGCCTTTCAAGCCCCTCAGGGATGGGGGTCCAGACAGGGTCTAGCTTCTGACTCACAAGGGTCTTAGTTTCCTCCCTGAAAGTGGTGTGGGGTCGTCTCCCAGGATGGGGCCTAAGATCAGCAAGACCCCTGGCCTAGGCTCAGAGGCCACAGGCAGGCACACCCCCAACGAAGAGGGTTTTGACACCACCTCTGGCCTGGCCCTGACCCTTCCCCAGACTCATCTGTGCTTCTGGGGGCCTCCGGATGGGAGGGTGGCTTCTTGGGGGTGGGAGGAGGGAGAGAGGAACCAATGATCTGTGACTGGATGAGTGTGGCTTGGGGGGGGTGGCTGTGGGTGGGCCTGATTTGGGGAGGGGGCTTCAGGAGGAGGAGGAGGAGGTGGTGGAGGGCCCGACTGTCATTGGTGCATCTTAGACAAAGGCAGAGGGAGGGTGTGCATGGATGGGAAGGGAACAAAGAGGAAGGGGTAGAGGGGGCCTGTCAGAGGGAGGAGGCACAGCCAGCTGGTCAGAGAGAGGAGGGACATACAGAGACACAAAGAAGTGGGCAGGGGTAGCAGGAGGTGGCGAGGGGGTGGGAGGGGGGCTGGCGGAGGGGGGGCAGTAGCCGAGGCCTGCCATAGGGACGCCTGGTCACACAGGTAGTTCTCTGGAAACCAGCTACTGAAGGAAGGGGTGTGGGGGCTGCAGCATGGCCGGGTGGACTGGGGCATTCATGCACCTCTCCAGCCGCCCCCCAGACGTTCACTCCCTGGGTTTCTCAAGGGTCAGTGTGGCCTTCATATCCTTTGTTCTTCTGCCATTCTCTGGCGAGCATGCTTCTCTCGGCGTGTGTGTGTGTGTGTGTGTGTGTGTGTCTTGCTGTCAGCACATATGAGGGGCCAACTTCAAGGGCATGGAGTATATAGCCTGTCGGGTCTGAATGCCCCACTGGGAGCCATACCCCTGTGTTCCTGTCCCCTTGTCCTTTCTGTCTGCCACTCCAGCTGCAACATCATCGGGGCCTGGCTGCCCTGAGGTGGTCATTGCAGGCGCTCCTGCTGGGCCCACTGGATGAGGGGGGCCGGGCTCAGGGCTGCCCCGACCTCAGGCCCCCAGTGACCCTGCTCTGTGGGGCAGGCTCTGCAGGACCTGAAGATGACGAGCTCTGTGACCTCCTACGAGCAGCTGGTGCGGCAGGTGGAGGCCTTGAAGGCCGAGAACAGCCACCTGAGGGCGGAGCTTCGGGACAACTCCAGTCACCTGTCCAAGCTGGAGACGGAGACATCGGGCATGAAGGTGGGCTGATGCAGGAGGACAGGGCTGTAGGGACAGAGAGAGGGGGCTGGACGGGGAGACAGAGACAGAGACCAGGGGCTGGATGGGGTCATGGGGAAAGAAAGTGGGGACTGGTTGGGGTGATGGGGACGGAGATGGGGCCTGAATTGGGTGATGGGGTGACAGGGACAGAGGGTGGGAGCTGGTTGAGGTGATGAGGACAGAGTAGGGGCTGGTCAGGTTGATGAGGACGGAGACAGGGGGGCTGGATGGGACGACAAGGACGGAGACCAGGGGCTGGGCAGAATGTCAGGGACAGATGCAGTGGCTTTGCCCTGGGCTGGACACTGCCCAGCTGACACCCTGCTCTCAGGAGGTGCTGCAGCGTCTCCAGGGAAAGCTGGAACAGGAGGCCCGGGCCCTGGTGTCCTCAGGCCAAACTGGGCTTCTGGAGCAGCTGAAAGGTGAGGTGTCTCACACCAGGGTGGGGGGACTGGGGACTGGCTACAGCTCACGGCCACCCTTCCCTCCACCCACCAGCCCTGCAAATGGACATCTCCAGCCTGTATAACCTCAAGTTCCAGCCACCAGCACTGGGCCCTGAGGCCCCTGCCCGGAGCCCTGAAGGAAGCCCCCTGCACAGCTCTGTGCCCTCAAAGGATGGTGTTGGGGAGCTGAGCCGGGCCACAATCCGCCTGCTAGAGGAGCTGGACCGGGAACGGTGAGAGGCACCCCGTTGGCTTGAGAGGGTGCCTGGCTGGCGGGGTGGCTCCTGGGAGACGTCCCCAGGAGTCCCTGAAACAGGCATTTCTCAAGACAAGGCTTTCTGGCACCGAGAGTCTGGCAGGCCTGCAGCCAAGGGGACTCAAGGCAGCCTTTGTGGAGAAAGGGCTAAGGGCCAGGGAAGCTGGACTCAGGGCCAGATGGGGGAAGCAGTCTAGGCCACCCACTCGGGTGGTGGGCTCGGACCGGACAGTCCTCGGAGACCTTGTGTGTTGTGTGACCCCAGGCAAGGCTCCATTCCTTCTGACTCCAAAGTTCCTGCTCTCAGAAACGGAAGGAGCAGCATCGCCCTGCGTGGCACCTGGATCACCTGAAGGCTACTCTGTATTGGCTGGAGTGGGCATTGTGGTGGTGGCTGTGTGCCCTCGAGTTGGGTCATGGTCAGCAAGGCAGAACAGAACGCACCACCCGAGTTTTCTCTGAGACCGGTCAAAGCCAGGCCTGTCTCTCCTCCTAGTCCGTGTATTGTGACCTGCTGGGTTAACTCAGCACCTCCCAGCAGTGCCCGGAGGCCTGCCAGGGGAGGCACTGCCATGTTGCTTGGGGGACTTGGCACGACTGAGGCACACTGAGTGAAGCCAGCCTCTAACAAACAACACATCTGTGACCCGCCCCAGGTGCTTCCTGCTCAATGAGATAGAGAAGGAGGAAAAGGAGAAGCTGTGGTATTATTCCCAACTGCAGAGCTTGTCCAAGCGCCTGGATGAGCTGCCGCACGTGGAGACGGTGAGTGGCTGCGAGTCGGGGTCCTGCGGGCGGCGGGCGCAGGACCCTCAGCCCGGGCACCCCCTTACCACGGCCTGCCCGCTTTTCCTAGCAGTTCTCGATGCAGATGGACCTGATCCGGCAGCAGCTGGAATTCGAGGCGCAGCACATCCGTTCGCTGATGGAGGAGCGCTTCGGCACCTCGGACGAGATGGTGCAGCGCGCGCAGGTGAGCTCAAAGGCAGGGGCGGGGCGCCCGCGAGGGGGCGGGGCCTGATGTCTGGGCGAATCAGAGGGTATAGCAGAGTCCACTGTGGGCGGAGTCACCAGCCTTGGACGAATCGGAGAGCAGTAATCGCTATGGGTGGAGTCCTGGGAGGAAGGGGAGATTCAGGAAGTGGATTTCTGGGCAAGCTGATGGCAAAGCTTTGGTTGATGGGCGGGCCTGAATCTGGGAGTGGGTGTGGCTACATCTGAGTGGGTAGAGACTGGTTCCATGGACAAATCAGAGGGCAGAGCTTGCAGTGGGCGTGACCATATGCTAATCGTGGGACGACTGCTGTGGGTGTCCTGCAAAACAGGGACGTCTAAAGGGTAGTTGAAGGATCCCTGAATTGGCCATTGCCAGTTCCTCTGGTCAGTGGGCGTGGCCACACGCTGCGAGCCAGAGGGGATTTAGAGGGTAAAACTGGATCAGGGAATCAGGAGTCCTGGGGTGGACCATAGAACTTGGATGGAGGGCCAGTGGGAGTGGGTAGAATCAGATCCAGACGGGGCTGGAGTCCTGGAAGGACCAGAGAGGTCTCCGGCAGTGGGCGGGATCCGATCCCCGCGGGGTGGGGTTGTGGGAGGACAGGGCTGTGGGCTTGGGACGGGTAGGGCCTCAGCGCGAGCAGGCAGGACATCGAGGCGAATGGGCGGGTCTCGCCAGGAGTGGGAGCCTGGCTGCCGGGGCCTGAGGGTCTGTCTGTCTGTCAGATCCGTGCATCGCGCCTGGAGCAGATCGACAAGGAGCTTCTGGAGGCGCAGGACCGCGTGCAGCAGACAGAGCCGCAGGTAGCCGTGGGGGGCCCAGGTCCTGCCCAGGGCGCGGTAGTGAGAGAGATCTCCACACTCTGGTTTTCACGGGAACAGGGAGGCAGCAGTGGGGAGCCCTGTGGGGTACACCTAGGTGAACCCAGAAACCTATCCTTTCTCTACAGGCTCTCCTGGCGGTGAAGCCAGTGCCAGTGGATGAGGACCCTGAGGTGGAGATCCCCACGCACCCCGAAGATGGTGCACCTCAACCGGGGAACAGCAAGGTGCGGTGGGGGATGAGGCGGAGGGGGCGCTGTGGGGTGACTAACCCTCACCAGGCGAGGACACCGGTGTGTTTGGTCCCGGGTGTTGAGGAGCTACCTAGGGGTGGAGCTGGCGGTCAGTGCTGCATTAGGGGGGCGACCCCTTAGGTCAGTGCTGCCCTAGCTGTGGGAGCGACCCCTGGGCTGGTCATCTCCGCAGAGCCATTGGTCTCTCCCATCTGTCCACTTCCCTAGGAGTTGCAGGACCCTCATTTTAGGGGTCGGGGGAGGGCAGGCAGGAGAAGACTGTGCTGTTCCTCAGCTCCTGTCCCCCCACAGGTGGAGGTGGTCTTTTGGCTGCTGTCTATGCTGGCAACGCGCGACCAGGAGGACACGGCGCGCACGCTGCTGGCCATGTCCGGCTCCCCCGAAAGCTGCGTGGCCATGCGCCGCTCGGGTTGCCTGCCGTTGCTGCTGCAGATCCTGCACGGCGCTGAGGCGGGTCCAGGGGCTGGGGGCGTGGGGACCCCCGGGGCGCCAGGCGCCAAGGACGCGCGCATGCGCGCCAACGCGGCGCTGCACAACATCGTCTTCTCACAGCCAGACCAAGGCCTGGCACGCAAGGAGATGCGCGTGCTGCACGTGCTGGAGCAGGTCCGCGCCTACTGTGAGACCTGCTGGGACTGGCTGCGCGCACGCGACGGCGGCCCAGAGGCGGGCGGTGAGTGCGCGACGCGCAGGGACTCCCGCCACGGGACACTGGGGACACCGGGCACGGGTGCTGGCGCGCCTGGGGCCGAGGGGGATGCATGCCCACCTCACCACGGGGGGGAGGGGATGCATACCCAAACCTCACCACGGGGGGCGAGGGGATGCATGCCCAAACCTCACCATGAGAGGGTAGGGGTGGCGAGGAATATTCCTCCACCAACTGCAAAGTTAATGCGCTACAATGACCAGCTCAGGCCGCACGTTCCTCCCACATTATGATGAGGCAGGGACCAAAGTGGCCACTGTACTGAGGGCTGACCACGGCCTCTGCCCTCCCAGCAGCCGCCTTGTGCAGTTTGCAAAGCCAGGCCCGAGCGGGGCCGTGAGGTGGGAAGGGTGGAGGGGGCAGCGGCCCTGGGGTCATTTCGCTGACCAGTGCCCTGGTCCACAGCCCCGGTCCCCATTGAGCCTCAGATCTGCCAGGCCACCTGTGCCATCATGAAGCTGTCTTTTGATGAGGAGTACCGCCGGGCCATGAACGAGCTGGGTGAGTGTGCCCTGCCTCCTCCTGGGGGCCCTTAGAGGTGCTGGCTCAGATGCTGGGGGGAGGCAGTCACTGTGTGGTCCGTGAGGGATGGTTTTGCTGGCCTTCTGCCCATGTGAGCACTCCCTGCCCTGGCTTTGGCCCCAAGGCAGCTTCCCCCAGATCCAAGGTTCAGGGACCAGGGAAGGGATGGGAAAAGGCAGAGGTGAAAGGCTGGCATTAAGGGCACAGAAGTGCCTTGGAGTTGGGTTTATTGCAGTGTGTGTATGTGTGATTGTGTGTGTGTGTGTGTGTGTGTGTGTGGTGGCCCTTGGGAAGTTCTGGGCTGGGGATGCTTCATTTACCGTAACAGAATGCCACAAAGCGAGTGGTTTCCAAAAGAAATTTGTTGTGAACTGTGGGCATGGTCTTCAAAGGCGGGCTAGGCGGTGTCCTTGAAGGAGCCAGCAGGCTGAGAAGGGCACTTGGGGCAGAGAGAACAATTAGAGCACAACCGTGGCTCGAAGCCCTGTGTTAAGGGGGCGTGTGACATCCCACAGGCTCTGGAGGGGCTTCAAGGGTCCTGTGGGTCCTGAAGGTGATAGGCAGGTCTGAGAGATTTCCCTCAGGACCAACAAATGGACCAACATGAGGAAAGGGCAGGGCAGGCTGCCTGGAGGAGGTGTCCTCAGACATGGAGTGGAGAACAGCTGGCTGGCTGCAGGCACCTATGCAGGGGGACCCTGGGGGGCCAAGGCTGGGAGGAGAGAAGGTGAGTCCATCCTCCCCACCTGTCCCCTCTCATCATTCTACACCCCTCCCGTGTCCCCCCAGGTGGGCTGCAGGCTGTGGCTGAGCTGCTACAGGTGGACTTTGAAATGCACAAGATGACCCGAGACCCTCTCAACCTTGCCCTGCGTCGCTACGCTGGCATGACCCTCACCAACCTCACCTTTGGGGATGTCGCCAACAAGGTGCCTGGCAGGCGCACCTTGAGCCCAGCTTGAAACCCTGGGGTGTCAGGGGTGGTTGGCCCTGTTTATAGATGATCAACTGAGGCCTGGAGGGGCCTGAGCCAGGGCCGGGGAGCCGCTGTCACTTCAGAGTGGGTTCCCATGTGGAAAAAAATTGTCGCCTCAGAGCTTCATTCTGTGTGGAGGGGCCTTTGTCACCTCAACAGGGTCCTTTGTGGGAACAGGTGTCCCTTCAGAGTCGAGTCTTCTGTGGGAGACTGTCATCTCCACCAGCTTCAGATTGTCTTCTTAACAGTGGGGTTCCTGTCCCCCCAGCATGGTTTCAGCAATGAGGTTCTTGTCCCTCATGATCTCAGCAGTGGGGTTCCTTTCCCCCTTCTCATGGTCTCAGCAGTGGGGTTCCTGTCCCTCCTCGTATGGTCTCAGCAGTGGAATTCCTGTCCCCCATGGTCTCAGCAATGGGGTTCCTGTCCCACCTCTCATGGTCTGAGTGGTAGGGTTCCTGTCTCCCTGCTCCTGCAGTGAGGGTGAAAAGTGATGTCCAGCTCATGGGAGGAGGTGGAAGGTATGGGACCCCACATGGCCCCAGCCCTTCAGCCATGGCCATGACGCTTGTGTGTCCCTCCACAGGCCACCCTGTGTGCGCGCCGGGGCTGCATGGAGGCCATTGTGGCCCAGCTGGGCTCAGAGAGCGAGGAGCTCCACCAGGTACGGTGACCTCTGGGCACTTGGGCCATGGGAGGGGCCTTGATCTTGCTGTCGGAGGCTTGCCTGCCGGGGCGCTGGGGTGGGGGGTGAGGGTGGCCCAGGGTGGCCCTTGCCTCCTCCACCCTGTGACTTGCTGAAGATGATGGAGATGGCTGTGCTGCTCCTTGCCGACCTCCTGTGGCCCCTGGTGTTGCATGCGCTGGCTCCCTGGCCTTCGCCCTGTGGTCCCTCTTGCCCATCTGCTCCACCCCTCCATCTTTCCTGTCCCCCCTGGCCCCAGGTGGTTTCCAGCATCCTGCGAAACCTGTCCTGGCGTGCAGACATCAACAGCAAGAAGGTGCTCAGAGAGATCGGGAGCATGGCGGCTCTGATGCAGTGTGTCCTCCGGGCCACCAAGGTGGGCAGTGTGAGGCCAGGGCCTCAGCTCAGGTGGGACCCAGCAGAGGGATGGGGGGCGGGGCAGTGGGCAGGGCAGAGGAGAGCCCGGTGCTGGACTTGCGGGGCTCAGGGCTGGGCTGGGCACATGAAGGAAGGGACTGAGGCACTGTGAAGGGGACAGGCCAATGGGGGCACTGAGAAGGGGGCAGGGACTGGGGATCCACACAAGTGAGGAGACCGCATACAACGGGGTGCATTTTCTCAGTGAAATCAAGCCACCAGCCCCCTGCTTAGACGGGCCTGAGGGGCCTCGAGCCCGTGGCGGCCGGTTTTATGACTTCTGCTTTTCATTGTCCCCCACCTGCCCCAGGAGTCCACGCTGAAGAGCGTGCTCAGCGCCCTGTGGAACCTGTCGGCACACAGCACGGAGAACAAGGCCGCCATCTGCCAGGTGGACGGCGCCCTGGGCTTCCTGGTCAGCACGCTGACCTACAAGTGCCAGAGTAACTCGCTGGCCATCATCGAGAGCGGCGGCGGCATCCTGCGCAACGTGTCCAGTCTCGTGGCCACCCGCGAGGACTACAGGTCAGCGGGCAGAGTGGCGGGGCCGGAGGACCCCCGCGGTGGGGTGGTGGGGAGAGGTCGGGCCTGCAGTGCGGGCATTTCCCCAGGAGAAGTCTATCCCAGAAGTGGCATGGGCCGTACTCATCCCAGAAAACACTTATCAGAACCAAACACTTCCATTCACGGGAGAATTTTGATTCCGAATACTTCAGTACAGTTCCTCTTCAGTACTTATAAGAAGCCGTAGTAGGACAGGGAGGCACTGCTGTCCAGAAGGTTGGCAGTTCCAATCCCACAGCCAGCAGCTGCTCTAGAGGAAAGTTAAAGACACAGCAGCTGAAGGGAGGGATGGGCGGGGAGGAGTCCCCGGCAGTGGCTGCATTTACAGACTCGCCCAGAACAACACCTGCTGCCCTCGGGTGCGCTCCACTCACAGGGACCCCCCACCCGTGTGAGAGGCTGTGAGTCGTGAGTCGAGGCGATGGTGGGCTCCGTGTCCCATGAGGAGCTGAGGCTTCAGACTGCCAACCACTCCACTGCTGAGCCCAGCACCAGCTTTCTGTTACAGTACACCACCAGGCCTCTTCCAGACTAGTTTAAATTATTTATTAAAAGAAACAAAATATTTATGGAACAACAATAAATGTACATTTACTTAGGATAAGGAATACAAGGTAGCTCTTTCGTTTTACATAATTATATTATAATTAACTAAGATATTTACTGTTATGAGATTAGATAAGAGCTCTGGAGGCCTCTAGCGGCAAGAAGCTGCGCTGCGGTTCCAAAGGTAGGCAGTTCGAAACCACCTCTGGGCAGGAGAAAACCCGGCAGTCTCCTCTGAAAACCCTGCAGGGTCAGCTGCTGGCCGGTCCCACTCCAGCGTCCACACAACAAGGGGATATACTTGAAAATGGGTCCACTAGTAAACTAGCAAAAACAGGAAAGAAAATTTCTATTTAGTACTTACATGTTGTTGTTGTTGTTTAATGCCGTGGAGTTGTAGACGACTCATAGCGACCCTATGAACGAACAGCCTGAGCACTGTTTGTACATAGAGTTTCCGGAGGCAAGCCATTTCGGAAGTGGATGCCGCTCCTGCTTCCAGGCTTGATTTAGTCGGGAAGCTCCAGTCAACACTGTCCACCATGGGTGCCCATTACCACATCTGGCACATCACTGTCACAGGCTTCAGCATCACAGCAACCACGAGTTACCTTTGTACAGCAACGCACAGACCAGTGCTGTACCACCTAGAAGAATGTTTGACAGGAAAACAATAGGTAGATGGGCTGATTTCTGGATTCTCAATTCTATTCCATTATTCTGTGTATCTGTCATTATACCAGTACCACGCTATCTTGACCATCATGGCAGTGTAGTAGGATTTGAAATCAGGGAGTGAGATGCCTCCTACCCTTTGTCTATTTTTAAGGAGTATTTTGCTTATTCGGGGCTTCTTTCCATTCTAAGTGAAACTGGAGATTGCCTTTTCATCTCGTTGAAGAATGGAATTGGGATTGCACTGAATGTGTAAATTGCCTTTGATACTGTTGTCATTTTCACAATATTGAGTCTTCCATACATATATTAAATCTTATTATTAAATATAGCTTAAAAGAAATAAATACATAGATAGATAGATAATAACATTTATTAAATAGGATTAATCACACCAGTCAAAAAATCAAACCCATTTATTGCATTCAGCAAAACTGCTTCAAAGAATGTCTTCAAAATGATAAAGAACAAGGAGGAGTACGTGCAGCTGGCCCAGGCCAGGCATTTTCAGTCACTCACAGAGATGTGGAAAAGCTGGGTAATGAACAGCGAAGAGGAGAGAAGGATGTGTGCCTTTGAATTGTGGCCGTTATGCTTTGTGGCATCAAGTTGCCCACGACTCATAGCTCCCTTGTGTCCAGTATCTCTGAGCCCTGCCTTGAGCCACTCTCATCATCTCCGCCAGACCTAATCAGATCATCCAGTCACTGAGTCAATCCATCTCCTCCGGGGTCTTCCTCTTCTGCACTGCCCCGGCACCCTTTGAAGCATGATGTCCCTCTCCAAGGACTGGTCCCTCTTGGCCACATGTCCATAATGTGAGATGGAGCTTCAACATCCTAGCCTCCAAATAGCAGCTTGGTTTCAGCCTCTCCAGGACAGACCTGTTTGTTCTCCTGGTGGTCCATGGCATGTTCAAGACTCTTCTCCAGCACCGCAGCTCAAAGGCATCGATTCTTCAGTCATCCTTAGTCATTGGCCAGCTCCCTAATGCACAGCAATTGCGAAGACCGTGGCCTGGATCCTGCACACCCTAGCCAAGTATGGAATTTACCATGAACTGCCAGAAGACCACGAGATCTGTCCTGGGAAGTGCAGCCAGGAGAGTCTTAGAAGAGAAGACGGAGACACTCACACATACTGTGGGCTTGCTGTCAGAGGCGGCCAGTCCCTGGACAAGAACTCACGCCTCATGAAAGCCCGCAGAAAGACCCGCAGCAGGATGGACTCACCCAGTGAATGCAACAGGGGGCACAGGCCAGTGGCCACTGAGAGTCAGGCGCAGCCTTTGAGCGTTCCCTCAGTATCCAAAGTCATTATTAATGTTGTCGTTGTTGTTATGTGCCATCAAGTCACTTGCGACTCATAGCGACCCTGTGTACAACAGCCCTAAACCCTGCTCTATCCTGTGCCAATCGCACTGTTTCTGACACTCCCATCCCGATTACCCCAGTCACTGAATCAATCCACCTCATAGAGGGCCTTCCCCTCCTGCGCTGTCCCTCCACCCTCCCAAGCATGACATCCCTTTCCAAGGACTGGTCCTTCCTTCATCATGTCCATAGTATATCAGACGAAACTTCAGAATTCTTTCCTCTAAGGAGTAGCCTGGTTTAACCCTCTCCAGGATGAACCGGTTTCTTTTCTTAGTAGTCCATGGTATCCTCAATACTCTTCTCCAGAACCACAACTCAAAAGCATCAATTCTTCTTCAATCCTCCCTAGTCATTATCCAGCTCTCTGACACATAACAAGTGATTGCAAAGACACTGGCCTGTATCAGGTGCACCTTAGTCTCCAGAGTGACACCATTGCTCTTAACTAACCTGGAGAGGTCCCTAACAGTGGACTTTCCCATGGCAATACGTGTTTTGATTTCCTGTCTGCTGGTGCCACCAGTGTTGACTGTGGAGCCAAGCAAACTAAAGCTGTGAACAATCTCAATCTCTTCACCATCCATCCTGATGCTGCCAGTTGGTCCAGTGGTGAGAATCTTTGTTTTCTTGATATTGAGCCTCAATCCATATTGGAGGCTGAAGTCCTTGACCTTCTCGAGCAAGCGTTAATAATAAACAAGGATTTATAATTTGTTAAAGAAAATTCCCTTGTTTTTTGCTCATGATATTTAAAAAGAAAGAATATTTTAATGAAAATAAAATGTTTATTAAAAAGATATTTATTAAATAATGATAATGCTTATTGGTTATAGGAATAAAATGTACTTAGTTTGGTGGTTCTACGAACTCAGGTTTTATTAATATTAAATTTATTTATTCATATTGCTTTAGGATAGTATTTTATCCTTACAGAGTTTGGATCCATGTTACTGCTGTTGTTTTTATGTACCATGGAGTCACCTGAGACTCACTTTCTATATATTAGCTCCGAATCCTGTTCTGTCGTGAGCCAATCTCATTGTCTCTGACAGACGGAATCTCATTTCTCCAGTCACTGTGTCAACTGATTGACTCAGTGACTTGTATCCATTGTGTGTGTGTGTGTGTGTGTGTATATATATATACACACACACATATATGGAGAAATGAGATTCTATGAACTTTGATAAATAAATATTGATAGTTGTAGAGGGGCTTCAAGCCTTTTGTTCATAGGGTCACTATGAGTCATGCTAATTCTGAAGGCAATCAACAACAACATATTAGTATTTATATACTTATACTATTTTATTGAGATAAATAAAGTTTTCCATATTAAGATAATAAAATAAACAGAAAATTAAGATGATTCAGGACCCATTAAAAGAAGATGGAAGAAATATGCAGGGTCATTGTACCAAAAATACTTGGCTGACACAGAAGAATTTCAAGAACAATATATAATCAAGAGACAATGTTGTGCTGTAATTACAAAGGCGTGTGGTTTGAATCCACCAGATTCTCAGCTGGAGGAGGGGCAGTCTCCTGTACCAGTCAGATCTGATTCGATGGTAACACAACAAGAAAGAAAAAAAAATCCAAAAAACAAGAGGCAGTGGTGATGAAGGTGGAAGTTCAGGCTGATCTGAAGGACTTGGTTGAAAATAAAGCCCAAGGAACTGATGGAACACCAGTTGACATATTTCAACAAACAGATGCTTCCCTGGATGTGCTCACCAAATTGTGCCAAGAAATCTGAAGGACAACTACCTGGCCAACTGACTGGAAGAGATCCATATTTATCCCCATCTCCAAAAAAGGTGATGCGACAGAGTGTGGCAGTTACAGAACAGTATCACTAATAGCACATGTTAGCAAGATCCTGCTGAAGATAATCTAGAAACAAATGGAACAGTGTGAACAGCTCGGTGCCCGTGGCGCCGACCTGCACTCGGGAAGGCTGTAAATCACACAGACATTGCCTGCTTTTCTCCTGCAGAGCGGCTGGTGGATTGCACCCCTCTGAGAGCTGGGCCTTGAGGTTACCAGGGCGACTCCCTTCAGACTAGGTGCCAAGTGCTCCCTTAACAGTACAGTTTTATATTTATTTATTTTTTCTTTTAATCTTATTATATTTTTGTGGGTACCATCAAATCGCATCTGACTGGTATAGGAGATTTCCCCTCCTTCTACAGCAGAGCATCTGGTGGATTTGAACTGTGCGCCTCTGAGATTGCCATGAACAGTTTTATAAAGAAAATAAAATTGCTTAGTATATTTCTGAACAGTATTAATGTTATGTACCATTATATATAATAGTAATTATTACAATAAATTTTACTTATTTTAGTATTTTGATACTTAAACGAAAATCTGCTTAGTATAAAAACAAGTACACAGACTAATGAGTTAAAATCTTAGTAATGTGCACTGCATATTAAAAGAAGTTATTACTTTTTGGTACATATCTCATGCATTTTTATTTTCTTAAATAGTTATTTAAATAAATCAATGATTGTGAAGTAACGAAGAGAAATAGCATTTATTAAAGTAAAAAAGCGTTTTTCCTGTAAATTGAAGAGGTGGCTGTTTAAATATGAGTCACTGCTGAAAACAAATGTTGCTATTTCTAAGAAAATGAAGGTTTGCCTACGTTGTGGTTATATATAGTAAGATAATGCTTCTTATATAAAAAATGTATTGCACTAACATCACACGCAAGCAAAATCCTGCTGAAAATCATCCAAAATGACTGGAACAGCACATCGACAGAGAACTACCAGAAATACAAGCTGGGTTTAGAGCAGGTCATGGCACATTATCGCTGATGTCATATGGATCTTGGCAGAAAGCAGAGAGTACCAGAGGAATATCTGTGTTTCAGCAACTAGGCAAAAGCACTTGACTGTGTGGATCACAACAAGCTGTGGCTGACTCTGAGAAGAATAGAAATCCCAGAACACTTGATCGTGCTAATGCGAAACCTATACTTGGACCAGGAGCAGCTCTCAGAACAGAGCAAGGAAACAATGTATGGTTGAAAATCAGGAAAGGAGGGTTTCAGGGATGTGTCCTGTCTCCATCCCTTTTCAATCTACATGCAGAACAGATCATTAAGGAGGAGGAATGTGGTATCAGGATTGCAGAAGATTCATGAACAATCTGTGTTATGCAGATAACACAACCTTGCTTGCTGAAAGTGAGGAGGACCTGAAGCGCTTGCTGCAGAAGGTCAGAGACCACAGTTTTCTTTATGGATTGAAGCTCAACATCAAGAAGACAAAGATTCTCACCACTGTGCCAATTGGGATCAATGGAGAGGAGACTGAGGTTGTTAACAATTACAGTTTGTTCGGTTTCACAATCAACATTCTTGGCACCACCAGTCAGGAAATCAAAAGACTAATTTCATTAGGAAAATCTGCTGTCAGAGACCTCTCCAGAATGTTGAGAAGCAATGATGTTGGTCTAGAGACTAAGGTGTGCCTGATTCAAGCCATGGTCTTCACAATTACTTGTTCTGCATCAGAGGTGGACAGTGACTAAGGATGACCGAAGAATCGATGCCTTTGAGTTGTGGTGCTGGAGAAGAATCTTGAACATACTGTGGACCACCAAGGAAAAAAAAGTTCTGTCTTAGAGACAGTGAAACCAATTTTCTCTTTGGAGGCTAGGATTTTGAAGCTCTGTCTCACATACTTTGGACACGTGGCCAGGAGGAACCAGTCATGCTTGGAAGGACATCATGCTTGGAAGGGTTGAGGGACAGGCAGGAGAAGACGACCCCAGATGAGGTGGATTGACACAGTAACTGGGGCAGTGAGGTTAGGTGTGTCAGAGTCAGTGTCACAGTCAGATGAGGCTTCAGAGATGCTTGCTGTCCATGGGGTTGCTATGGACCACAGGTGACTTGGCTGCAGATAACATTGCTTATTAAATTATATTATTTGTAAATTACATTTATGGTTGTTGTTGTTGTTATGTGCCGTCGAGTCGCCTGCGACTCATAGCGACCCTATGTACAACAGCCCTAAACTCTGCTCTGTCCTGTGCCAGTCGCACTGTCTCTGACACTCCCATCCCAATTATCCCAGTCACTGAATCAATCCACCTCATAGAGGGCCTTCCTCTCCTGCACTGTCCCTCCACCCTCCCAAGCATGATGTCCCTCTCTAAGGACCGGTCTCTCCTCACTACATGTCTGAAGTAAGTTAGACGGAGCCTCAGAATCCTTGCCTCCAAGGAGCCACCCGGTTTAACCCTCTCCAGGACAAATCTATTTGTTTTCCTAGCAGTCCATGGTATTCTCAATACTCTTCTCCAGCACCACAGCTCAAAGGCATCAATTCTCCTTCTATCCTCCTTGGTCATTGTCCAACTCTCTGATGCATAACAGGTGATTGTGAAGACCATGGCCTGTGTCAGATGCACCTTAGTCTCCAGAGAGACACCACTGCTCTTCAGCACTTTGGAGAGGTCCCTAACAGCAGACTTTCCCATGGCAATGCGCCTTTTAATTTCCTGGCTGCTGGTGCCAAGACTGCTGACTATGGAGCCAAGCAAACTAAAGCTGTGTACAACCTCAATCTCTTCACCATCCATCCTGATGCTGCCAATTGGTCCAGTGGTGAGAATCTTTGTCTTCTTGACATTGAGCCTCAATCCAGATTGTAGGCTGCAGTCCTTGACACTCTGCAGCAGGCGCTTCAGGTCCTCCTCAGTTTCAGCAAGCAGGGTTGTGTCATCCGCATAACGCAGATTGTTGATAAATCGCCCACCAATCCTGACCCCACATTAAATGCACTAATTTTGTTTATTCGCATTTCTTAGCATAAATAAAATATTTGCTTAAGGGAGCTCTGGTGGCCTAGTGGCAAGAAGCTGCACTGCAATCCCAGAGGTATGTGGTTCGAATCCACCAGATGCTCTGCTGGAGAAGGAGAGGCAACCAACTCCTGTACCAGTCAGATCTGACTTGATGGTACACACACAAAATAATAAAATTTTAAAAAATTGCTTAAGTAAGATATTTATGTAATTATCACATAATATTAATAACATCCCAGAGCTCTTTTTAGGATTTCTGTGCTTGTACTACAATGATAGCTTTGAATGCAAACAGGTTGTTGCTGTTGTTAGGTGCCATCCAGTCAAGGGCAACTCACAGGGACCCTGCAAACAACAGACTTACACCCTCCCTGTCCCGGGCCACCTTCCCGAGCCACCTTCCCGGGCCCTGACACTGACAGGCCGTGAGGGGGACGGAAGCAGGCACAAAGCTTTAGATATTACTAGTACTCTTGATCAGTTGTCAAGAAATCGACCTGTGTTTAAGGGAACTCTGGTAGCCTAGTGGCAAGAAGCTGCACTGCAATTCCAGAGGCAAGCAGTTAGAATACACCAGATGCTCTGCTGGAGAAGGAGGGACAATCTCCTTCTGTGCCAGTTGAATCCGATTTAGTGGTATACACATAAAAAAATAATAAATTGAAAAAAAGGAAATCTACCTGTTTTTAATATTTATGTCCTCACAGCATTTGTAGAAGATAAATATATAAAATGGTAAATGCATAAAATATAATAATGATATTATGATAGATACATTTTTATTAAATTCGTATTTATTAAACAGTAAACAACTAAGCATCGGGTTGTTAACTGATAGACTGGTGGTTCGAATCCACCAGCTGCCCCTTGGCAGGACGAAGCGTCTGTGCCCCTCAGGCCTACAGCCCCGGGTGCCTCTTAAGTCAGTCCATGCTCCTCTGGGGAGGCCTTGCTGGTCGGGGTTTGTAAAGAAAAAACTTATTAAAATGAATAATATTGTCTGTTTTTAATGCTTCAATACTTAAGTTGTGAAAAGAACTCAAATACTTATTAAATAATTATTTATAAAAAGAAATAAACTTAATTTATTTGGAGGAAGGATAAGGATAAGGAATTGTGCAACCGACTCAAAGGCTGGTGGTTCGAATCCTCCAGGCGCACAGCAGGAGACAGATGGGCAGTCTCCTTCTGTGTGATTTAAAGTCTTTGAAAAAAATGTGCTGGAGGGTCACCTGTGGGTCAGTTCCCATGGACAGCAGTGAGTTTTTGCTGGAGTTTGACGCGGTTCCGGGCAGCCCTTGGGAGCCCCGTCAGTTTCCAAGGCCTTGCCTCTCCCCGAGGGGAGAAGCGCCAGCCTCGCTCCTCAGGGCCACGGGTGGGTTCAAGCTGCCGATGCCGTCGGGAGCCCCCAGAGCACCTGTGCACCTGGCTGACCTCTTGTTTTCCTAATGAGCACTTGTTACAATGATGCGCTCTGTTGGGTCAGAATCCACACACCTGACCCTCCAGCGGCTCGCGAATTGCCCGGTGGAGACCGACCGCCTCGCCTCCTGCGGAGCGGCGGGTGAGTTTGAACTGCGGGCCTTTGGCTTGGCAGTGCAGCTCCTTGCCACCAGGCCACCAGAGCTCCCTTTTAAAATAGCACTGTTAAGTCATACTCTAGGAAATATTTATTAATTAGAAAGGAAACGTTTCATTGTTTCTATACAAACATTTTTACTAATTTAGTGCCGGCTCCCGTGGTGGCACCGTCAGGACACTGCGCCACTTTGTGTCCCCAACAGCTCCCGGGGAGCGGCCTGTGAACAGGTGTGAACACCAGAGGCCGGGGCTGACCCCAGTGAGAGGGAGACTGCAGGCGTCCGTGCTCGATTCCTCGCTGAGAGGAAATGCTCTGCCATCAGGGGCGCAGGCAGGGCTGGGACACCGGTGTCCTGAGCGGGGCACGTGCGCCCTTGGAGAGGCCCTCGGGCCCTGTCGCCCTGACCGCTCTCGGGGGGCGCAGGGGCTGTGGTGACGTGTGCTTCCCCACCCCAGGCAGGTGCTCCGCGACCACAACTGCCTGCAGACGCTACTGCAGCACCTGACCTCGCACAGCCTGACCATCGTGAGCAACGCGTGTGGCACGCTCTGGAACCTGTCTGCGCGCAGCCCGCGCGACCAGGAGCTGCTGTGGGACCTGGGCGCCGTGGGCATGCTGCGCAACCTGGTGCACTCCAAGCACAAGATGATCGCCATGGGCAGCGCCGCGGCGCTGCGCAACCTGCTGGCCCACCGACCCGCCAAGTACCAGGCCGCCGCCATGGCCGTGTCGCCTGGCACCTGTGTGCCCAGCCTCTACGTGCGCAAGCAGAGGGCGCTGGAGGCGGAGCTGGACGCCCGGCACTTGGTGAAGGCGCTGGACCTGGACAAGGAGAGCCTGTCCGAGGCCGTGCCCCCCACCAAGAAGCCCCTGGCGCCCCTGCGCCTCCTGGACGGGCCGGCCCAGGACTACGCCTCCGACTCGGGCTGCTTCGACGACGAGGACGCTCCGTCTCTGGGGGCCGGAGCCAGCGCCACCACTGACGCCCCCCGTCCCGCCGGGGCGCCCCTCTTCCTTCAGGGTCCGGCGCTGGCCCGCACGCCCCCGCCGCGCCGGGGCCCGGAGCCTGAGGAGGCGGCCAAGGCCAGGCTGGCGCTGGCCGTGGCGCGCATCGGCCGGCTGGTGGAGGACATCTCCGCGCTGCACACGTCGTCCGACGACAGCTTCAGCCTTAGCTCGGCCGGCGACCCGGGCCAGGAGACCCCGCTGCCGCCTCGGGAGGCGCGCGCCCAGTCCTGCTCGCCCAGCCGGGGGCGCGACGGGCCTCGGAGGGAGGCGGCCAGCCGGGCCCACCCTCTGCTGCGGCTCAAGGCGGCGCACGCCAGCCTGTCCAACGACAGTCTCCACAGCGACAGCACCAGTGACGGCTACTGCCCGCAGGAGCACATGCGGCCCTGCTCACTGGCCGCGCTGGCCGAGCCCCGCCAGGACGCCTCAGGCCCCGCCAGGCCCTCACGGCTCCGCCTGGAGCCTCCGGGCGCTGAGCCCCTGGGCCGGGAGCCCGCCGACGGCCGCGTGCGCACCATCAAACTGTCGCCCTCCTACCAGCACGTGCCGCTGCTGGAGGGCATGGCCAGGGCGGGCGCCGTGCCCGCCGCGCGCACGCAGGCCTGGCTGCCCACCGAGGGCCCCGCCTCTGAGATGCCACCCACGCTGGCGGCGGGGGACACGGCGGCGCTCTGCTTGTCACGCTGCAGCTCGCTGTCGTCGCTGTCTTCCGCGGGGCGCGCGGGGCCCAGCGAGGACGAGGGGCAGGATGACAGCGACTCATCCTTGGAGGCACTGGAGGAGGCCGGGCCTGAGCGGGCTTCCGGGGCGGCGTGGCGGGCGCCCGGGGCCTCGCTGCCCGTGGCCATTCCGGCGCCCCGTCGGGGCCGCAGCCGAGGCCTGGGCGCGGAGGACGCCACGCCATCCAGCTCGTCCGAGAACTACGTGCAGGAGACACCGCTGGTGCTGAGCCGCTGCAGTTCGGTCAGCTCCCTGGGCAGCTTCGAGAGCCCGTCCATCGCCAGCTCGGTGCCCAGCGAGCCGTGCAGTGGCCTGGGTAGCGGCACCGTGAGCCCCAGTGAGCTGCCCGACAGCCCTGGGCAGACCATGCCGCCCAGCCGCAGCAAGACGCCGCCGGCCGCGGGTCCGGGCCCAGGCGAGCGCGGCGGGGCTGCCAGCCAGTTCTGCCTGCAGTGGGAGAGCTACGTGAAGCGATTCCTGGACATCGCCGACTGCCGCGAGCGCTGCCGCCTGCCGTCCGAGTTGGACGCGGGCAGCGTGCGCTTCACGGTGGAGAAGCCGGACGAGAACTTCTCGTGCGCCTCCAGCCTGAGCGCGCTGCCCCTGCACGAGCACTACGTGCAGCAGGACGTGGAGCTGCGCCTGCTGCCGCCCGTGCGTCCCGAGCGCGGCGGCTTCGCTGGACACAGGCGGCCAGATGAGGCGGCCGCGAGGCCGGAGGGTTCAGCACCAGCCGCCCCTCGTGCGGGGCCGCCCGCCGCAGCCGCCAGCTCAGAGCTGGAGCTGCTGCGCGCCTGCCTAGGGGCCGCGGTGCCGGCGCGCGTGCGCAAAGTGGCTTCGGCCCTGGTGCCTGGGCGCCACCGGGCGCTGCCCGTGTACATGCTGGTGCCCGCGCCCGCGCGTGGGGAAGACTCGGGCAGCGACTCGGCCGAGGGCACCCCAGTCAACTTCTCCAGCGCGGCCTCGCTCAGCGACGAGACACTTCAAGGGCCGCCACGAGAGCGGCCCAGTGGGCGCCGGGACAGGCAAACGCCAGCCGGCCGCTCCACCTCCTCCAGGCAGGCCTCCAGGCAGCGGCACCGAGTTGGGGACGGCCGGAACGCCGAGCAGACCCGTGGGAAGGGCAGGAGCCGAGCAGGCCTGGAGCTGCCCCTCAGCCGCCCGTCCAGTGCCCGCTCAGACCTGGACGGGCAGTGCCCTGGCCGGGCACGCGGCGAGGGGGCCCTGCAGTCGCTGTGCCTCACCACGCCCACCGAGGAGGCCGTGTACTGCTTCTACAACGATTCAGAGGACGAGCCTCCAGCGCCCGCGCCCGAGCCCCCGCGCCGCACCTCCGCCATCCCGCGTGCCCTCAAGAGGGAGCGCCCAGCGGGCAGGAAGGAGACGCCCAAGGCCGCCCCGCAGGCCGCGCGGGCGCACCCAAGCCTCATCGCCGACGAGACGCCGCCCTGCTACTCCCTGAGTTCGTCCGTGAGCTCCCTCAGCGAGCCCGAGCCTGAGCCGAGCGCGCGCAGGCCCGGCGGACAGGCCGAAGGGTCGCCCGGCCCCAGGGC